ACAGCAACCTCCAACTCCTGGGCTTAGGCGATTCTTCTGCCTCAGCCTCCCAAGTAGCTGGGACTACAGGTGCCCGCCACAACGCCTGGCTATTTTTTGTTGCAGTTTGGCCGGAGCTGGGTTTGAACCCGCCACCCTCAGTATATGGGGCTGGCGCCCTACTCATTGAGCCACAGGCGCCTCCCAATATTTCTTAATGTGATATGTTCCTATTAGTGATTTTAAAGACTTTTCATACATCATCCTAGTCCTATTTGCTGTTGTCTAACTGCGCTCAGCATTTCAAAGATCAGTTCATCACTACATAATAGGAATACAGATTGAATATACCTTATCTGAAATGCCTAAGGCCAAGTATTTTTGATTTTTTAATTTTTTTTTTAAGAAATAGTTATGGGCTCGGCGCCTGTGGCTCAAGTGGCCTACACCTAAGGTGTCGGGCTCGAATCTAGCTCAGGCCCACCAAAACAACAATGACAGCTGCAACCAAAAAATAGCCAGGTGTTGTGGCGGGCGCATGTGGTCCCCGCTACTTGGGAGGCTGAGGCAGGAGACTCACTTGAGTCCAGGAGTTGGAGGTTGCTGTGAGCTATGATGCCTTGGCACTCTACCCAGGGGGACAGCTTGAGGCTCTGTCTCAAAAAATAAATAAATAAACAAATAAATAATAGTTACATTATACTTAACCAATTAAAATTCCTAATCTGAAGTCCTAAATGCTCCAGTGAACATTCCTGTGAACATCATGATGGTGCTAAAAATGTTTCAGATTTAGGAGACTTTCTGAATTTTAGATTGTAGGATTAGGGATATTCAACCTGTGCTATTTATAATACCCTTCCAAAGACATGCAATAGCTTTGGTGTTTTTTTTTTTTTTAGCTATAATGACACTCTTTATAATTGTAGATTCAGAGAAGACTATATTAATACAATGGCATCTAGAACTTAACTGATTGCTTATAGTTAATCATGTAAGTCTGATACTGGTTGTTTTTCCATAAATGTATTACCTTGTACTTAACTCATTCAACTTTATGAGATTTTTTTTTTTAACTTATCCTGTACTAGGATGGAATGGGTAACCTCAGTAACATCTGAGGCTAATACAGTCCTATCACCATAATTACTTTAGCAAACCTGCCACATCATGCAGAGACAGTGATTGAGTTTGCACAAGTTTATGAGATTTTAATGGACTGTTTATCTAGTCCAGTAGTTCTTAACCTTCCTAATGCCGCAGTCCTTTAATACAGTTCCTATGGGTCATGACACACAGTTTGAGAACCCCTGATCTAGTCTTTAACGCTACCTATAAACTCTCCACTCTGAATCCATTCCTGAGTCTTTACACTTAATTACTAGACCAAATATTGAGATATCCTACTGCTTACACTTCTCCAGTTGAAAATACACATTGTTCCTATCTTAAACGAATACTCTAATCATATAACCTTATATTCTTTACTTAACAAACTGAGAACTAAAGTAATGCTACAGTATTTTGAAAATATAACTATTCTAACTTTAATCAATCAAGCAAGAAAATTGTGATCATTCAGATTCTCAAAAGTGTGGACCACAGGCTTATGGTTCCTGCAACTCTTAGAATCTACAAGGTCAAATCTATTTCCGTAATGATATTAAGATGCCCTTTGCACTTTGCACTGTATTGACATTTGTACTTACATTCTTAAGAGTAATGGTTGGGGGGAGCACCTGTGGCTCAGTGAGTAGGGTGTCATCCCCATATACCTATGGTGGTGGGTTGGAACCCAGCCCTGGCCAAACTGCAACAAAAATAGCCAGGCGTTATGGCGGGTGCCTGTAGTCCCAGCTAGTCGGGAGGCTGAGGCAAGAGAATCGCCTAAGCCCAAGAGTTGGAGGTTGCTATGAGCTGTGACGCCACGCACTCTACGGAGGGCAACAAAGTGAGACTCTGTCTCTTAAAAAAATAAAAAGTGTAATGGTGGGTAAAACTTTTGGTGTACGCAGCAAGGCAGTGACACCAAACGGTAGTCATTGTAGTTTTTCATTGTTGTAGACTCATGTTATAATATGCTAGTTTTACCTAAGAATGCCCACAATGAGGCAGTAAAAAAAATTAAAATTACTTAATCACCCTTGGGTATATATATTAATCTTCTATGTAGTGGAATGGAAAATCTGCATCAAAGCACTTGTGTGATTGAGTTGTAAGCTAAATTAGCTACTTATAGAACACCATTTTACTTGGACTGTCTGACAAACTATGTCGATATTTTCTTTAAAATGAATGAAGTGAACCTTTGCATTAAGGAGGAAATGTTATTGGTAATAATAACATTTTGGCTTTTAAGAAAAATGTTATTTGGTAATGATAACATTTTGGCTTTCAAGGAAATGTTGTTGGTAATGATAACATTTTGGCTTTCAAGAAAAAATTAGAATATTGGAAAATTTCTATCCACCTTGAAGAGCATGAGACCTTCCTGATAGGATCAGCAGTGATGTTAACAAATGTGATTTTTTGGAGGAAGTGGGATATTGTGCAGTGAAATACATCAACATTTGGAATATATGCATAACACAGCAAATTAATGCATTCTAAATGACCAGTAGTTGATGTTACACATAGAGCATGATCAAGGATCCTTTCCAAGTACAGAATAGACCAATAGGTTTTTTTGTAGCAAAATTTTACTTGTTAATAGTGAACTTAACTAATTTATGTATAATTGCAGGAATTCTATAACATGTATAAACTCATCTGCCCAATACAACCGAAATACAGAATAGTTCCATCACCCCCTAAAATTCTCCATGCTGTTTTTTCTAGTTACTTCTCCCACAACCTTGGGTAACCTCTTATCTGTTTATCGCTATAGTTTTGGTCTTTGGAGAATTCACACAAATGGAATCATACAGTATGTAACATTTGAAACTAGCTACATCCAGGAAGCTTTTAATCTAAGTTGTGTTAATCAATATTTCGTTTCTTTTAAAGAATCAAAGTAAAATTCACCAGTTGAACCATTTATAAAGTATGTAATTCATTGGCTTTTAGTGCATGTACTATGTTGTACAACCATCACCATTATCTAATTGCATTTTGATCATCCCGAAAACATACCCTATACCTATTATGTAGTCACTCCTCTTTCCTCCTCACTCTGTCCTCTGGCAACCACTAATATCCTTTTTGTCACTCTGGATTTGCCTATTCTGGACATTTTATATTTGCAACGTGTGGCCTCTTGTGTCTGGATTTCATTTAGTGCAACCATCCCTTTTAGCATATATGCCCATGGTATGGTAAACTACTTGTTACGCATGTGGGAATTGGTAGATTCTGGGTAAGTACAGTTTTCAGTTGCTTGAGAGTTACATTAAAAATAGACCTAACTATAAGCCCAAGAGTTTGAGGTTGCTGTGGGCTGTAAAGCCACCGCACTCTACCCGGGGCAACAGCTTGAGACTCTGTCTCCAAAAAAAAAAAAAAAGCCTAATTAATTCTATAGACTATACCATAACTTCTGTATTGACTTGATATTTATACTTAAACACACTAATTAGAAGCAAATTAAGACAAAAATAATTAGGTATGACACCACAAGCATTACCACAAGCAAAATTAGTTTTACTGTAACACAGTTTTACTCTATTGTGAAACAGGTTTGTGAATGCAGTGTACAGTTTTAGTTAAATGGCAGCCAACACATTTTTCTGCTTCACTGTCATATTTTTCGAATTTCAATTTAACACACATTAATGCTTACAATTATATAGAAACATGGGAGCCATGGGAGTGATACATGAAGCATTGGCTTACTGATGGCATAGCATACCAAGTTTATTTTATTTTACTTTTTTAAATTTCAGATTAATGTGAGGGTACAAACAATTGTTTGTGTTTGTTGGGTAAAGTCCAAGTTGTAGTTGTCTTCCTTGCCTAGGAGGTATGCCATAAACCCTTGCGCTTGTTAGGTGAGAGCACCCAAATCCCCTCTTTTCTCCCTCTCCCCCACTTGATTTTAGTTGTGTTTTTCTCTTGGGCACGCCACGTTTAAACTCTGATTTTTATTTATTTATTGGTCAAGTTACTTACCAGTTGCTTGAGAATGCCAGTTGGTTGAGTTCTGGATGATAGGAGGTTTACTTTATTCATGTTATTAGTCAGCTCAGGTTGCCAAAACCAAAATACCACAGACCAGGTGACTTAAACAACAGGTGTTTGTTTTCTTTTAGTTTTCAAGGCTGGAAGTCTCAGATCAAGATCCAGCAGTATTGGTTTTTGGTGAGGTCTTTCTTCCTCACTTGTAGGTGGGCACCTCCTCACCTTTGACCTCACCTGGCTTTCCTCTGTGTTTGGAAGGGGACAATGTGCCCAAACTTGTGTGTACTCTTACATGGTGTCTTTTCCAAAAAGGACACTAATTCTATTAGGCCATGGACCTTTTCATCTTAATTACTTCCTTAGAGGCCCCATCTCTAAAAACAGCCACATTGGGGTTATTTAACATAAGAACTTTGGGGGGGGATACAAATTTTTAGTCCTTACCAATTCCTCTTTATGGCTCAATAATATTTCATTAGATAGTGAAAGGATGGCATTGTTAGTAAGCCATTTACCATTAAGAAAAAGAGGAAGAATTACTGATCACAATGCCCCTTTGTTTGCTTAACCTCCTGAGGCTTAAGTTTGTCTTTAAGAGTTTATTTTACAGCACTTTTAAAGTGTTGAGCAGACAGAAAGGGTGTAGCCCTCCCCAACATTCACCAAACCATATCCTGACAAGTCCAATAGACCCAGCCTAGCAGAGCAAGAAAACACACACACACACAAAACCACCTTCTGTTACCTTTCCACAGCAATAAAAGCCTAAGCTGCTTCCTCTTGGAAAGTAAAATAAACTTCTTGCTTCAAACCTATCCTGATCTTAGAGTCGAATTCTTTTTCATCCTGCAGTGTGAGCTCCCATCCTAACATTTTGTTTATCCATTCGTCAATTGGTGGGCATTGGGAGTGTTTTCACTTTGGGGCTATTATGAATAATGATGGTAAGAATATTCTTGTGTAACTTTTTGTTGAACACCTGTTCTTCTTTCTTTCTTTTTTGAGACAGAATCTTACAGAGTCACCCTAGGTAGCTGTATCATGGCAAGATGGTAAGATCATAGCTTACAGAGACAGAGTCACCCTAGGTAGCTGTATCATGGCATCATAGATCACAGCAACCTCAAACTCTTGGGCTGAAGCAATTCTCTTGCATCAGCCTCCCAAGTAGCTGGGACTATAAGCACCTGCCACAATGCCCTGCTGTTTTTCTAGAGACGAGGATCTTTATCTTGGTTGGGTTGATCTCAAACCCATGAGCTCAGGCAATCCACCCCCCTTGGCCTCCCAGAGTGCTAGGGTTATGGGCGTGAGCCACCATGTCCAGCCCTCACCTGTTTATATTTCTGTTGAGTATATATTTAGGAGTAGAATGCTGAGAGGCATGTGGTAATTCTCTGTTTTACCTTTTGAGAAACTACCAAACTCTTTTCCAGAGTACCTGGACTATTTTACATTACAATTGGTAGGTAATGTGTGAGGGGTCAAATTTCTTCACACCCGTGCAGTTTTTTTTCCTGTGATTTTTTAATACTCATACTAATGGGTGTGAATTGGTATCTATTTGTGGTTTTCATTTGCATTTTCATAGTGGCTAATGATGTTGGAGCGTCTTTTCATGTGCTTTTGTGCCATTTGTAAATCTTTAGGGAGATATCTATTCAAATTCTTTGACCATTTGTAATTGAATTATCTTTTGTTGCATTGTAAGAGTTCTTTATATGTTTTATACACTAGATTTCTATCAGATATATGAATTGTAAATTTTTTTTCCTTTTCTTTGGTTGCTTTCCCTTTTCTATAATATTTTATTTATAGAAGTTTAAAATTTTTAGGAACTTTATCTATTTTTTCTTTGATGCTTGTGGTATCATACCTAAAAATCTGTTGATATTCTAAGTCACAAAGATTTACCCTTATGTTTCTTCTACACTTTTTATTGTTTTCTCTTACTTTTTAATTTCTTTGTTTTTTTTTCCAGACAGAGTCTCACTTTGTTGCCCTTGGTAGAGTGCCGTGGCATATTAGCTCACAGCAACCTCAAACTGTTGGGATTAAGCAATTCTCCTGGCTCGGCGCCT